TAATAATAAATACTCCCTATGAAATAATAATAATAATAATAAGTATTGTTATTTTTCTAAAAAATATAGTACTAGACTCTTTGTAAAAAATGAGGGGGAGGGGGGGCACTGGTCTCTAATGGGGATTGGGAAGGTGTGAGGGTGGGGGGGGGGGGCTGGTATAAGAAAGAGAGAAAAAGAAGAAAGAGAGAAAGAAACAAGAAAGAAGTAGAAAAAGATAACGGTGAGAGACACTAACGGAGGCATGGACGGAATGTCACCTCCTAGTAATTTTTCGGATAATTTAAGGTACCCGAGAGTATATTTTAAAAAATATTGGAACCTGGCAGTTCTTATCACAAAATTAAGGGTACCCAGCAGTAATTTTTTCGTAAAACATATGACATATTCCCAAAATAGGAGTTGAAACTTAAACTCCTCTAAGTAGGAGTAATTAATTTAATTAATCTAATCTTCTCTCACACACTCTGTCTTCTCGTCCATTTCTTAATGTCCCCGGGCCGGTGGTCAATGCGGCGGAAAGAGGAATAATGTTGCTGGGTTTCCTGAAGGATTTTAGGAGTATTTTGAAAATTGGCCGCTGCACATTTTGTTTCCTTCCAATTTGAATGAATTGAGTCAAGAAGTTTGACTGGGCTTTGGTGGGTGGGTTGGATTTGTTTGGTTGTAATTTAAACTTGTAATTTGATGAAAATGGTACTTGATTTTATCTTGAGTGTCAACTTGAAAGTTCTATAGAAAATGTGAAAACGAGGAAAGAATATTGTTTAAGAAAGAAAGACATGATTTGTTACCATAAATCATTTGTAAGGTTACAAATGAAGGCGAAGAAAATTAAATAAATAAAGTTTGAATTTATAAATTATTCAAATGTATACAAAAGAATGATATAGTAGAGAGGCCACTATTGAGACGAGACTTACACAGTGACATATAAAGGCATACATGCAAATACATCGTATTAAACAAAGGGATAATACCAAACATGAAAATGTATAAAGCCACACTTGGCAATGTATAATGAAAGATATGTCATTGTATAATGCTATATATCACACATGTTAATTATATGTTAGCATCAAACTATTTTGATGCCTTACTTTGTCATCTTTGCATAATTTTCAAGTTCTAATCGATGCTTTTCGCCTTTTATGAGGTTTTCTTTTGAGAGAAGTCTTTGTTAGCCTGCATAGAGAAAAAGTTCGTGGGATTAAGTAGTATTCGGGTCGCACGAGGAATGATGGGCCTCTTGTTTCATATTCTAATTTGGGAAGAGAATCAAAAGTTTTTTTAATCAAAATCCACCATTTTCGTCGTTGATTTTTTGCCTTCACTGCTGACATCACGGCTCTCTACCACTGTCTCCAACAGCATAAACACAATTTGCATTGTTGATATCACAGTGACACATTAGCTACCAAATAAAGTGTTAAAAAAATATAATGTCAAACATTACACCACATAGTGTCACAAATGATAATGCATAATGTCACAAATTCCCATATGTAATGTTTTAGATGCAAATTGACAGTGTCACACAAAGATAAATAGCCCATAGATTAGACAATTATAGTCTAAAAGCTTTTTTTAATCGATATGTGCATTCCAAATCAATAATCAAAAATTAAAAAAATAAGTCATTTTAGGGGGGACAAAGATGTATTCTTGATTTGCTATTTATAGCTAAAATATACACAAAACATCACACAACTAATAGATGATGCACTGCATAAAGCACTCACTATCAATAATTAGAGTCCAAAAAGGTAAAAAATCACAAAGAAAAAAGAAGGGTTTTTGGAAGGGGAATTTCGTCGAATACCTTTTGGGCCTCAAACGCATCAAAACGGCCGGGAGAAAAGAGGTGTTTCTCCGCTGGACCAAACAAGAGGAGAGATTTTGGCATACATAGATTAATTGAGAAACATAGAGGAAATTAAACTGATAGCCAGAGCTTCTTTAGCAATAATAAATCCCCAAACAATAAGGCAGTCCAGCCTGAAGGATCCAGGAGATCAGAATTCCAAAGGCTGGGGCACGATGGCAGAAATCAGAACCGACCGGCCAAAGAACGACTAGGAGTGGAGACGACCCCGGTAAGTGCTTTTGACCGGCTGGGGAGAGGGGCCGGGTGACCTGGTCGGACCAGGCGAACGGAACCACCCCCTTGCGATGAGCCCCAGAACAGCCGGGCACCCTTGGGAGAGGAGGAAGCAGAAAGCCATCCAAGGCACACGGCCCGCACTCACATTAAACAGCCCAGGGACCGTGTGGGCCGAGTAGAAGCACGTTTGGAAAAATTGCAGCGACGGGTAGACCGGGACGAGAAGAAGAAAGTCTTGCTGAATGAATCTCCGTTGACTGACCGGGTGCACGAAACCCCATTCCCAAAAAAGGCAAAGCTGGAAGTCCCAAAATTCACTGGCAAAGAAGACCCGGAAATACACGTCAAAACCCTCCACCAAAGTGGGAGAATGATGGGTCTTTCCGGAGACGAAAAGTGCTTGCTTTTCTTCCAAACCCTCTACGGCCGAGCCGCCGAGTGGTTTCACAACCTCCTGGCCGGTGAAATTGATTCTCTCGATGAACTGCCCGAGATGTTCCAGGAAAAGTTTAAGGAGAATTGTACCAAGAAGAAAAAATTCACCTACTTGAGTACAGCTGGGCAGAGGGAACACGAGGACCTAACCAAGTTCCTCACGCGGTGGAAGGATGAGGTTGACAAGGTGGAGGAGATGGACAATAAAACTGCAATGTCCCTCCTGGTCTCTGGGCTTCGTTCCGGAGAATTGTATAAGGAATTCTACCGGAGACCTCCTCAGTGTTACCAAGAGGCTTACAACACGGCCTGGGATTATGCTGACGCTGAAGCACATGTGTCTTCCAAAAGGGAAGCCGAGCAGGGCCACCCCAAAGCAAGGATTTCCTTGAAAAATGAAATCAAACTGCCCGGCAGGGTAAAAGCAGAAGTGATGGAGGTAAAACCGGTAAAAACAGAGAAGAAACCAACCGGGGAGAAGTAGTGGACCAAGAAGTATTGCTCTTTCCACGAAACAGACTCCCATAACACTGCTGAATGCAATAGTGTTAAGGGAGTAATAAAGCAGATGATCGAGGCCGGGGAGCTCGACCAAGAGTACCTTGCCCAGGCAAAACAGAAAAAGAACCAACGGATCCGACCCGAAGGTCAACCGGCCGAACAGAACAAAAAAAAGAAAGCACCCGGTAAAGAGCACTTACATGTGATCTATGGCGGATCGGAAGGAGGAGATTCCGCTTCACAAAGAAAGAAGTGGGGGCGGGAGCTCTACGTTGGTATAGTTGCCCTGGGTCCCCGGCCAAAGCAAACCAGAAGGGAGCCGATCACTTTCACGGACCGAGATCTTCCCGCCACTGGGGAAGACCACAATGACCCTTTGGTTATAACCATGAATATGGGTGGAGTTGATGTTTCCCGGGTACTCGTTGACACGGGCAGTAGTGTCAATGTTTTGTACTTGGAAACCTTTGAGAAACTCAAGCTGTGTCGGACACGGTTCATTGCATATTTGGCCAGTTTTGGGATCAAACACAACAAGGCGTCAGTAACATATCCTCAAGGAAATGGCCAAGTTGAGAATGCTAACCGGACGATAGTGGACGAGCTGAAGAAGAGATTGGGAGAAGAAGGGCGCAAATGGTTGGAAACACTACCCCATACAATCTGGGCACACAGGGTAACGTCAAGAAGAGCAACCGGGGAGACGCCATTCATGCTCACTTATGGGTGTGAAGCCCGGTTGCCAATCGAGGCAGAGTTCCCAACGTTTAGAGAGACCGTGTATCAACCCGGCCAGAACGAGGCCGACCACTTAGCTGAATTGAATCTGGTGGAAGAATGGAGAACGATGGTAGCCGTCAGAATGGCCGGCTATCAGCAGTCAGTGAAGCGATATCATGACAACCGGGTGGGTCCACGTTACTTCCAGGTGCATGATGAAGTCTTGCGAAGAAGGGATGCTAGTAAACCCAACGAAAGAGGCAAGCTAGTCCGCAACTAAGAAGGACCATATCGCATAAGGGTGATCATCCGACCGGGCACTTACCATGGAGGTTGGACGAGTCGATCGACATTGGAACTCTCATCACTTGCGTAAATTTTTTAGATAGAGTGTAATGAGTTCCCGGTCATAAATAAACTTTGTCTTGTTCATAAAAATTATTCTTAAATCGGAAATTGGGCTCGCCAATCTAATCGGTTATATGTTCAATCGAATTGGACATCTCAAAAAAAAGGAAAAAAAAGAGAGACCGGTCGAACCGATCAAACTCTTCATCCGTACTGACACGGAATTCAAATGACATAACCAAAGGGAGAGCATCCCGGTTTGGTTGGTTCAAATAATCAAAGAAAAATGCAAGGCTTATCTTTCAACATGGGTGATAAGCCGATGGGAAAGACAAGCCGGCTTTACTTACACCCGGGCAGAAAACCATCCTTTCGAAAGGGATAAGGTAAACTGCCATCATGGGTCAAAAAACCTACCGGGAAGAGATCGGTTGGATTCAATCTCTTCCCGGCCACCCAGTCAGTCTTCCTAAAGGACATGGATAGACTTTGAATTAGACCGGGTAATTACAGCCGGGCTGTAACTTAGTAATCTACCCGGTTGTAAATTTAAAGTTGAACAAATTTTTTCAAACACAAATCATAATAAAGTAATCAGGCACTCAAAACACCGAATGAAAAAACGAACTTTCATTAATATTAAAATGTTTTACAAAAGTGCCCGGAGGCTGATTATTACATGTTGAAACAAAAAAAAGAGAGGAAGGATTGGGAGGTCAGATCCTGTCAAAAGGGGGACAGGTGCTTCATCGTGTAGCTCGGGTAGAGAGAGGACCTTGGGCTCGAAGCCTTGAATCCGCTTCTCCAGAATGATGTACAACGCCCGCCGTTCGTCATACTGGCCACTCTCGAAACCAAAGGTCCCGATTTCATCGACAACCTTGACCGAAACCTCATGCTTATAAAGCCCCTGGAAGAAGCGGATGGCTGTCTCCCGGTCAGGCAGCGCTCGGGCGGCGAATTGCTCTGGCTCCTGAATAGCCCAAGCGGCAGCAAGAGAAGCCCGTTCAGCGCACTCCTTCTCTAGCTCGTCCTCTTGCCGGGCAATCTCCTCAGCTGACCGAGCGGCTTCTTCCTGCAGCCCGGCCTTCTCCGCCTCAAGCCTCTGGATCTGCTTCTGAGCTTGGGCATTAGCTTCTTTTGACGCCTTCACCAGCCCTTCGTGCATGGCGTAGAGCTTGCGGAAGGCGACACAATGCTCCAGGAGTTTCTCCTCGGCCTTCTCTGCCTTCAGATGGGCGGCCTGGGCATCCTTTTGGCAGGCCACCATCATGCCCTCCAGCCGGGCCTTCTCCTCCTCCTTTGAGTTCACCAGGTGGGTGAACCATTCTTGGCCGATGCGGCCGACCTGCTTCAAGAAGATGGAAATATCTCAGAACAACAATCTTAGAAATACAATGAAATAAACATGGAAAAGGTTGGGGGTTACCTCTTGTAGATTAGAGCGAAAGGCTTGGAAGAGTTCTTCGTCCGACCAGACCATCATGGCGAAGGACCAGAGCTCGCTGCAGTCTTTACCGGCGTCGGAAGACTGGGCCGGCTGGTCCATGACCTCGGTCCTCCGCCTCTTTCTTTGAAGGGCCTCCTCGGCAGCCTCTTCTTCGCCGCCACCTCCTTCAGTTGGTTGGCCTCCCTGACCGGTCTCTAAAGTATGGCCGGTCTCCATCAGAATGTTTTCAAAGTCCATGGTATCTACATTAATGTAGAGTTCCCCGAAGTGAATCGGCTGACTGGGGCCCTGGTGTGATTCGGCCGGTTGCTCATCCAGTGAGAACGGCTGGCCGGAGGGCTGGCTGAGGTTCTGGGTAGTGGAAGGCTCCTCCATATTGACGATTTGGGGGGTGGCGAACTTGGAGTTGAATTTCGCCACTAAAACAAGAAAGAGATAGACCGGTTAGTAAGAGAAAGTTACAATATGAAAAAAAAGTACGCAGACAAATTGAGAAAGGGAGTAGGGTTGGACCTTTCTCCTTCTTCTTCCCCCGGCGCGAGGAACTGGCGGTGGCAGAGACCGGGGCTCTCGACCCTTTCACCCTGAGGATGGGGATGGCATTGGGGATCGCCTTGACCAGAACGATTTCTGGCTCAGGATCAGTCTCCGGACCGGGGTAGACACCCCACTTCCCAACGTTGTAAGGACCGCGGGTGGAGGCGTCCCCGGCCCAGAGAGTTGTTTCCTAAGCAGCCAGGTCGTCAGTCTCCCGGGGCTTGACTTGGACTTTCATCCTTTTCCCTCAGGCATTTTGGGCAAAGGGAAAAGCGCCTGGGGGGGGGGACTTGATGGAAACATATTTATCCTTCCAACCCTTGTTGGAAGGAGGAAGACCGGAAAGGAATGCGCGCCCTTGGTGAGAGGACACAACCACGAATCCAAGGGTTCCCTTGGACCCGGGCCGGACATCGAACATGTGGTCGAAAAGACGGAGAGAGAGAGGGATGCGGAGAAAACGGCAGATGTTGATAAAACTATTGAGCATACGGTGACCATTTGGGGCCAACTCCCCGAGCATGATCCCGTATGTCTCAAGGAAAAGGACCTTGAAGGGATGAATGGAGAATTCACCCAAGTCCTTGATGGAATGGTAATGGATCCCAATCGTCGTACCGGCGTGGATAGAAATAATATTCTTCCACGACGCCCGGTAGGACAACTGGTATCCATTCGGCATTAGGTTGCATAGCTCGTGTATTTGGGCCTTCTGCATGTGCGACAGCTGCTCTTAGAGCAACCGGTCATCTAGCGGAATGAAGCCGTCGTCCACAGACTGGGCAACCGTGACAGCTTGTGTCGCGGAAGTAGAAGGAGCACAAGCGGGATCATCAACCAGCTACTTCTGTGGAGAAGTAGCCGGGCGCTCTGAAGAAAAAGAAGAGGAAGAGGAACCGGAGGTCTGAGACCGGGCACCAGAACCATAAGAATGGACAGAGAGGTTTTGGCTATCCTCGTGGTCAGACATGACTCAAAGAAGAAGAGGGAAGAAAGGGACTTACTTGGAGCAAGAAGACTCGGAGGACTCAAAAAGTAGTAGAAGCAACCGGGCAGATTTTTGATTGGTGATTTGCAAGTGAGAAATTTCAAGGGGGAACCTCACCTTATATAGGGAAGGTTCCACCCAGCCGAACGAATAGCGGAGTGACACGCGGCAGCTGAAATGATTCGTAATCATAACTTCTCGGGGAGACGAAACGGCGCAACAAATCGGCGGCGCCGTACCAGATTTCAATGAAGATTCCCCCACGTCTGACGCCCGGGATTTCAAAAATTCAAAATTCAAATATATTTGTTTTGGTGCTAGCTTGTAGAGGCCGTTTTCTGGCCAAAAATTGCCTGGGCAGTTTAAATTTGAAAGGATGCTCGTATATGCTTCCCGCCCTTGATGGTACCCACAGGACCGGGAATCGGAAGACTCCTTGATGGGTAATAACCCATGGATACCGCCCGGTAGGTCGGACCGACTGGGAGGTACCAAATGTGATACCGCCCGGGCTGTCTGACCAGTCGAGAATGAGTAGATCCGAAGCCGAAGACGCAGCTTCTTCTCTCGAAGGCATACAAAGGGACCGGTCAGTGAACTGACCGGCTGGATGATTAAAGATGTGCTTGACGTGCTTAGGATTATTATAAATATCCCTAAAAGCCTCATTTGTGGGGCATGCTTTAATTAATCTGTACGGCTTGTACTTTGTAATAGTCCTATTATTATCAATAACAAACCAGGTTACAGGTGTTTGCACCTACAGCCCTTCCGATCACTCATACCTAATATTTGCACGGTAATTTACACCAACAATATGGTAGAAATATATTTGGAGTATATTAGAGTATATTTTTTTTTATTTCTTTTATGTTTGATACATTATTATGGTCCAACATTTGTACATAACATTGAAATATGGAGGATATTTTATCTTATTTCTCATGTTTTCTTGTATTTGCATTAAATTTTATGAAGCAATGGACTGAATTGAACGTGATATTGCCGGTCCTCGAAACGATGCTGTGTTAACGTTTCAACAGAAGCATCGTTCCAGATGCGTTTGGGAAGAGGAAGATTTTCTTGATGCAAAAGTTTTTTGTTGTCTGTATGACTAGGGGTGTAAACGGACCGAATCGAAGCGAATACCGATATATTTGAATTTGTATTTGTTTAATTTTTTCGAATCCGAATCCGAATCCGAATATGAGACGAATTCAAAATAAGATTTGAATAAGTATTTGATTAATATTCAAATAGTTATCGAATCATAAACGAATATTTGAATAATCATACTATGTAATTTATATGATAGACCAACATTAATTTGTAATTTAAGTTACGATACTTTTTATTCTATACTATATTCCGTATATAAAAACATTAATACATTTGCATCTTACACAAATTATATTTTATAAAAGATAACTATTAAAAATCATATGCTTTAGATTTTTGTGTTACATTAATTTATTGAATTCTTAGTATTTTAAATACACTTTATACTATATTACTTTGCTTGACTTTTAATGTTGAAAACATGGTCTGTGTATATATACATATATTCAAATATTCGAATATCATCCGAATCGAATATATCCCTATTTGTATTTGTATTTGATTAATATTCGAATCAAAAATAATATTTGAATTTGAATTTGTATTTGAATAACACGAATTCAAATCATCATATTCGAATACAAATCGCGAATCGAATTTAAAATATTTGATTTGTTTACATCCCTAGGTATGACGCCAGTGTTAAAAGCTTTTACGAAGATAAGATGATCGGATAGAGACAAATCTCAAGACTACTGGTTGTTACGTGGTAAAGTGGATCACAGTTTAATCACGACACTATTGGAAAGGTGGAGACTGGAGGTTCATTCCTTTTAAAATAGTTATTTAAAAAAAAAAAACTCTATATAGATATTCCACCCAGGAAATTCTTGTTTATTTTTTTACCTTTGAGGGAAACCACCCGGGGAAGATGGCCTCGCCTACACCGGCAACTGCAAGTTCTAGCTCCCAGGCGGCGGACTCTCATCGCGAGCTTCTCAAATTGGTTAGTGTTTATTCATCATTCCCACGTCTTTCCCTATAGT